TTAGCCGGCGGATTTTGCTATGTAAAATTCCGTCCCAAGCTAATTTGGGCTTGATACGCGGCTGGGCCTATTAACAGTGGGCTTAATAACCGGCGACTACCGTAGGACAGTTGTTTTGTAATGCATGCCTCAAAGAATCGTCCAAAGCTGCAGAATATTCAGCTGGGTGATGCACCTGCATGCGTGGCGGGTACTCTTGCGCACTGTTTATATTGCCTAGCATTACTCTTAGTCGTCTTCGTCTAGTCTGCGTCCTTCCATGCTGGCACGGTATATGAAAGGCGGTCGAAGTACTTAGTCTGATTGTCTGTGTCTGGGTTAACTCTAAGCGTACGCTATCACGCGTCCCCTCCCCCCAGGCACGTGTGTCTTTTCAGTAACAGCAGCCTCTTGGCCTATTCATGACCGGATGACCGTGAAACATCACTACTGCATGTACAACCTCGCCCTGATTCCGGAAACATTGAATGGTTGTTAGCACTGTTTATATGCTGACGGCGGTGTCCATGTTGTTGATTAACGGCAGATTTTAAGCCTTTCGGTGTGGCTCTGCTTGTAAGCATGATTTGGTCAGGATTCCGTCGTGGGGGTGGGGAGTTGTTCGTGCCTCAGAGCATGCAGTAACATTTCTGGAGGCTGACGATGTACTAGCATCTTAGGATTGTATAATACTTAAATAATGTAGGTAAGCGGACTTTGTGAACAAGATGAAAGCACTTACTGTTACTCCCTTTGGTAGGATCTTTCTCGGAATGAGGGAACCTCAGGGCCCGAGAAATGAGACCTAAGGCAGAGCGGGACAAGTAAGTTCCGTTAGCAAACGAGTGTAAATATCTCCTGACCTAGACCGGCAAGACAACGAGTTCGTGGCTCGATGGTTAGGGCGTTAGACTCTGATCGAAAAATGTCGCGAGTTTGAGCCTCGGGTAATGCATCACGTGGATATGGGTAGGACTGGCTGACGACGACTAATAAGATAGAAATGGCCATTCCAGTCATCCTTGTCTTTGCCAGCAATACTATCTGCCTAGGAACCTGTTTTCTCCTACTCCAGATTCTCTCAATAGATACTGTCGATATTCTCCAAATCGTCCGTTACGCAAACCAGAATTTCATCACCTCGCGTATAAAGCAGTGAATTCCGTTATGCTTTTGATGCAGACCACCAAAATAGGGCATTGCAATCCCTAGGCAGATAGTCCCTTCTCACTCAAATGGTTAGAACACGCGACACAAATTCGAGTGGCAGAAATGTCTCGGCGCTTCCAGTTCCTGACTAGTGTAGTTTCATCCTTCTACAACGCCATAAAAAAGTTTGATACTAGCTTAGTTTAGGGAGGCTATCTGAAGTTTCCTCTCTACATTTCGATATCTTCCGCCTGAGAGCCGTACCTTCCAATTCGAATAGAAACGTAGCTCCGTCTGTGAACTTAAGAGCCTTGTTAGCTAATGTTGACTATTGTTCAGGCTGGTGGTAATCCTCTGGTAGTTGGGGTGGTGAAACGTTCAAATTAAACTCTATAAACCGGCAAGTTTGACATCTACGAGTATTTCATCCAGCTAGCCAGCCACTCGCAAAAACATTATTTCGCTTAACAAGCTTCCGCTTAGCTAACGAGGTTTCAGTGCATGTGCGTGCCTGTGTCCGGCCATTGAGTCCTGCTCCCAAGGCGTGGGTCCTCCATCTTCTGCAGCCAATCACTGAACTGACGCAGTTTGATTGGCTACGTTTCGCAAGACGGGCGTGTTTCACATGACGAGCTCGGTGCCGGAACGGATTAAACCCATTGACTGAGGTTCCACTGTACTTGAATGCAGCCTGTGATAATAGAAAATTAGCCCAGGAAACTAAGCTACGCCTGTCGACTGCGTTTAAGTTAACAGTTAATACTAGCGAACATGCGAGTTCCGGGAAGTAAGTAGGAAAAAGAAGATGCGGTCGCTGGGACAAGACTTTTATTTGCTTCATCAAGCAATTAGTGCTCAAGCGGATAACTGCTCTTGGTATGGGAGTCGTTAATTGTCTCATAGGTGTGTAATATCACGGTGACCGTATTCTATAAATACTGCAACTCATTATGCCCTAATTACCTGTTTCTCCTACTATTTGCGTTCGTGTCTATGACAAAGGATCAGCGACGGACTTCGAAACTTTGGGCAAATAAAAGTCTTGTCCCAGCGATTGCATCTACTTCGCAGTTAACAGTCACTTGCGTAAAAAGTATGGACTGCTTATAAGGATGCCTAAACAGATTACGATAATAGGATTCGTAATAGGCAAGGTCTTGCTCATAATTCCAGGAAGGGTGAATAGTTCCGTGTCCTAATCCTAAAGTTATCGCCGACATAAACCTAAACCATTGTCCATATCTAAAAACACAGGCCTGCCCTAACTCCCTACAGTTACTCTGAGCCAAACCTTAACCGTAAGCACAATCCTGACCTGAACCTTAAATTTAGTTCTAACCTTATGCCTTAACCTGATGTTCTCGCATTTTGACGCAAAACCAGCTTTATGGCGGGCGGTTCCTGTTCTCATGTCCTGTTTCGAGGGCCATATAAGTAATCTTAATCATTTCAGTTCCTGACTATAGCATATAGCCTGATTAACAATTGGATGAAGGTAAGAAAGTAAGTCAGTTTCTATCGTACAATACAGGTAAACATTTCTTTGTCAGATGGCATATTCCTTCTTTCTAATAGTGCTTTCTCCTCTATTCAGTGACAACTGTCTTTATTACTGAATGGCGAACAAAGTTTCGCCGGAACATGAACACTCTGGACAACATTAAGAGTGGTGTGGCCGTTGACTCCTTACTGAACTTTGAAACGGTAAGACAGTGCATGTTGCCTGTTGGCCCTTTGACTGTTTGCCGTGCCATGTTTACGGCACACTTTCCTTCCTTCGCAGTTCCGGTTTCTATAACTGGTTTAGAGACTTCGTTAACTACAGGCGTCGTCTGTCAGTTGCTATTATCTTTGCTTAGCCGCCTTTTCTCACGTCCGCCGTCTGCTTTCCGTTTATGTGGCAGGTGAAATATTACACTGCAGAGTCCTTCGAAGTTAGTCGCTATAAGAAGGCGATTATTGACTACCAGCGAGCCAGCTGGATGACCCTGGCATCCCTGAGCATCCTTAATGTGATCCAGATGCTAATCGTTACTCTGGGCCTCTTGACGGGCACTCTACTCTGCGCGCACGCTGTGGTCGCGGGGAATCTCACGTTGGGCGACTTTGTCCTCTTCTGTACCTACATGACGCAACTCTACCTGCCTCTCAACTTCTTCGGCA